TATATGTAGTCAAATTAGTTTCTGATAAATCCTGGAATTAACCTAGGCATATATAGAAATAAGAAATCTAAGGGAGAGAGTTAGAAAAAGAACTTGCCTCTAGGTTTCGGATTGAAACCTTAACTTCTTCTTCTTAATTTTTCGACGATCATGACTGCCGTCAAGACTCCTCTGCTCTGATTCTAACTCTCGAACAGTCCTCAACCTTCCTCTTTGGTCCGGCCTAATTATTTGGCCAAAACCCTCTCTTTCGTCTCTCGGTTTCTCTTCCCTCCTCTCTGCTACTTCTCTTTCTCTAGGTATAACCACTCACGTATAAACCTAGCCTCCTCCTCTTCAGACTTAAATATATATATATATATTTATATATAGGTAATAAGATTTAACCCTAATCCTATGCGTAAAACAAGTTGGCTTATAAAGAAAAAGAGAAATAAATAATACTACTATATAGTAATACTGATATTACCCTATAATATTACGTAATTACATATAAAGGTAACCCTTTATAAATATAATATAATTATATATATTTATATAAACATATAAATCCTCCTTATCACTATTAATTAGAATAATAATAATAATAACCTCCAATACCCATGAGTCATAACCCCTACCCATGTAGGTCCATCAAAGTAGTCTATGTGATCCAATTATGTGGTCCACTCCAATACCCATAGGTTATAACCCCTACCCATGTAGGTCCATCCAATTAGTCCATATGACCCATTTATGTGGTCCACTACTACTATCCAAATCCCACTCCTTTTTAAATTAAAATTAAACAATTAATCATTTAACAATAACAAATAATTTACAAGAAATTTCACACAATTAAACAAGCAATTCTCACACTATCAATCAAAATAAGACACACAGTTAAAGCATATATTTCAAATAAACTCATCGTCACATGAGCATATAGCCATATAGTCAATTACAAATGCAATTTAAATGAAAAAATATATATATTAAATTCCTATTATATCTTTTTGAAAACTAAGAGTATTACAACCCAGCATTGAAAAGCATACAACGAGCTCTTTCCAAGAGAGTTCTATTCATGCGTTCTACTACACCATTCTGTTGTGGAGTCTTTTGAACTGTATGGTGTCTGATAATGCCTTCATTACTGCAGAACTCATCAAACTCTCCTGAGCAAAATTCTAAACCGTTATCTGTTCTGAGACGCTTAATCTTCTTTCCAGTCTGCTTTTTAATCATAGTCTTCCACTGTTTAAACTTAAGGAACAAGTCATATTTTTGCTTCAAGATATAGATCCAGACTTTCCTGGAGAAGTCATCAATGAAAGTCAACATATATCGAGAACCACCAAGAGAAGGAACTCTGGACGGACCCCAAAGATCTGAATGAATGTAATCAATAATGCCCTTGGTCATGTGAACAACTGTACTGAACTTAAGTCTTTTCTGCTTGCCAAAGACACAAGGCTCGCAAAAGTCCAGATTTCCCGTCTTCTGTCCACCTAGCAAACCTCGTTTGCTCAGTTCTATCAAACCCCTCTCACTCATATGCCCTAAACACATATGCCATAGATGGGTAGTTTCTGAATCTTGATCAACTGAATCAGCACCTGTGACAATACTGCCCTATAAAAAATAGAGGCCTTTTCTCTGTTTTCCCTTAAATATAGTAAGAACACCTTTAGAAACTCTTAAAACTCCACCTTCAGCTGAAAACTTGTAACCATTAGAGTTAAGAGTACCAAGAGAAATCAAATTCTTTTTCAAATCTGGAACATGCTGAACATCCGTTAAAGTTCTAACAATACCTCATGCATCTTAATTTGGATTGTGCCTATGCCAACAGTCTTACAAGGATTGTCATTCCCCATTAAGACAGTACCACCATCAACAGAACGGTAAGTAGAAAATTAGTCCCTATTTGGACACATATGATAGGAACAACCAGAATCAAGAACACATTCACCACTAGAGTGACAATCACTGACAGAAACTGAAAGAACATTTTTGACATCAAAAGAACTTTCCTCAGCAACCCCAACAATATCAGAAGAATTACTAGTGGATTTATCCTTAGACTCCTTTTTATCCTTTTTATCTTTCTTCTTATTTTTCAATTTTGGGCAATTCCACTTAATGTGCCCTTTTTTGTGACAATAATAACATTCAGTATCTTTATGGGACCTAGATTTAGATCTCGATTTACCCCTACTACCAAAACCAAACCCTCAGCCTATTCATCTCCATTATTCCCTGACACCTTTTTTCTTAACTCTTGAGAGTTCAGTGAGGATTTAACATCCTCCATACTAATGGTGTCTTTTCCATAGAGCAATGTGGTAACAAAATGCTCATAGGAAGGAGGCAAAGAACACAACAAAATTAGGACTTAATCTTCTTCATCAATTTTAATATCAGTATTTTTCAAATCCATAATAATATAATTGAAATTATCAACATGTTCCTTAAGAGGCATACCTTCCTTCATACGAAGGGTGTAGAGTCTCTGTTTCAAGTAAAGTCTGTTGGTAAGAGACTTTGTCATGTACAGACTCTCCAATTTCAGCCACAACTTTGCCGCCGTGTCTTCATTAATAACTTCATGCAGCACCTTATCAGCTAAATTCAAGAAAATTGCACTGCGCGCCTTTTCATCTACCTCATCCTTGTCTTCATTGGACATAGTTTCTGGCAACTTGTCCTTCCCAAACAGCATCTTCTTTAGACCTTGCTGAGTCAGCAGGGCCTGCATCTTGATGCGTCAAAGACTGAAGCTAATCCTGCCATCAAATTTCTCAATTCGTATCTGGTCGACATCTCAAAAAACTCCCCAAAAAATTTCTCAGTGAATAGTACCGTATTTATGAACAGTACCCGAATAGTATGTGTGAACAGTACTGTATGTGATAACAGTATCTGTACACAATACACGAACCGAGCTCTGATACCAGTTTGTTACGTAATAAAGATCGAATAGGGGTTTATGAGAACAAAAGAAAAAATAAATGACAAAAAAATAAAATAGCGCACACACAAACAAGACAAGGATTTACGTGGTTCGGCTGTGCTTACGTCCACGGGGAGAAGACAAAATAATATTTCACTATGGAAATAAAGAGATACAAGGCTAAGTGGCTCACACACCCAAAACCAAATTACACCCAAGCTCTCACACACTTTCACTTTACTGTATTGAGTAAACACTCTCAATTTTTGGATGCCTTAGATGCATGAGATACATGGCTATTTATAGCCAAATGATACCAATATATGCTTGCTGAGCAAGCATTTATCTTGCTGATCACACATGGGCCGGGCTACTTGGTGACCACGCATAGCTGGGAAAGCTTGTTGATCACAATTCTTGGAGGCCAAGTTGATGATGCAGAAAATGATGTAATGGGTGATGAAAAAAAACTTGTTGAGTTAGCAGAATTTGAGCCATAAGTTCAACACAAATCGAATTGCAGAATTCTCAACCAATGGCCAAACCCATATTATAATAAAACTTCCCACTGCAACAGACGTCACATCAGTAAGTCTTGCCGTAGTCGAAACACCATCACAATATTCTCACAACTATCGCCATCGCCATCAACTCCATACTTGACGGCTCCTTGGTGATATTCCAGCCATAGCTGAAGTAACGGTGCCTTGGTCGAGGTTTAGGGCTAGAGCATGGCACCAGAGATGGAGACGCACGCTGCCGGCAAGTTCGCAACTGTGGCGGCGGCGGCAACAGCAGGTTCACAGCGGTGATGAGGTCGCGACGACAATATTGAGAGAGAAAATGTGGTTGAGGACACTGCGGTGATAAAATTGAGAGAGAAGGTGGGTGAACTAGCAACATCGCGCAGAGAGAGAGGAGGGGGGAAACGAAAATGCGTTAAGGTTTTTTTTTTACAAAATTACATTTATGTTAACGACGACTTCATCTAGCATCAGCGGCGAAGCGGCAATGAGGACGCCGACAACCTCTTTCTCAAATCCATCCCTCACCGCACTAACAATGACATCCTCAACGAACTCAGTATCATCTTCCCTGACTCATTCTTCATTGTCTCGCTCCTACCTTCCACACCCACGCTTCCCATCAGATTGTGTTAGGGTTTGGTTTGTGACGATTATGAACCAGAATGGATTTTGGTTTTAATTTCGGATTTTTTTTATTTTTCAATTTTGATTTTATACATTTAATAGTATAAGGGTAGCTTGGCCATTTTAAAGATACATTGCTAGCATGCGTGCATCATGCGCTTAATTGGCCGGAGAAATCAAACGGAACTTCATCGGTGGGTAATTTTTGCAAAGGGATTAAATGTAAAAAAAAAAAAATAGTACAGGGGAGATTTTAGGGAGAGTAAAGTTAAGAAAAAAAATTTGCCCTTGACCCTAAATAAGAGTAAATAAATATTTTTAGAAGGGATCCTTTTAAAAGTCAAGATTCATCTAAAAATGGAACTTATCACAAGGTGGCAAAATGATGATTTAAAAGGAAAGAGAACTTGAACAGAAATATGGTTACAATATGGCGGGCTTCGCGGTCATTCCATATCAAATTAAATTTAAATAAATCCTACACCCCTTCCATAATATCAGTAGCTCAATAGACGCTACGAATGCGCACAGCAGGGCACTCTAGAATTCTCTGTAAATTTGCATAAAACCATCGAGACTATTCAAACATAAAACTATCTTAGATTACTCTAGCATTGTATCGATATTCTTTTGGAGCATTCTAGAATCCCATTCTAAAAATACTCCTCACATTCAAGACATCAGAGAGACCTGGCTCCCCTTGCTTCAAGGTTGCTAGAAAAACACTCTTGAAATCTCAATGCCACAGACAACAAAAAATAATCGTCCAGAAATACAGGAGTAATTCACCATCATCACTTGACATGACTTTTTTTAACACTGAAAACACAAAATTGACAATCAACTCATAACGTAACTTCCAAACAAGTATGATATCAAAGTTTTGTGAAACTAACAAGCAATAATCTAAAAAATCATTCACAACGTAAAACATAAAATAAAAAAAAATAGAGCAACCAAATGAGGACTCTCAACCACAAGCCTGGCAAAAAGTTCTTTAAGTAAATTTTTAATCCAACATATAAGAAAATTTATGGACTCTCCTAACAAGAAGGGATCTCCACCTGGCAGCATTTGTACAATTACGATCACAACTCCACTACATTTCCTTTTTACACCCTTAAACTTGTACAATAACTTCTCTTCTCTGCAGGGACATCAGGTTTGCTCACCATTTGAGCTACCCATAGCCTGATTCTAGGTATATCCTCGGAATTAAATAATGTACAATTTTTAATTACAATAAACACGCCTATCCATCTGAATCAGCAGATAGAGCCATACAAAGACATGAAAGGAAGGAAATAAGAGGGAGTTCATACTAAGTTAGCTGTACAACTTCTTCGCTATACTGTCAAAGCAGACAATGATGACAGAATGCCAATCCTCCGTTCTGCAAGAGAATCAGAACCTTATAAGAGATTGCTTTTTACATTCAAAAATCATACAAACGAATAACATAATTATAATTCTATGATGCCTTTACCTTGTCACTGCATAAAAATATGAGATCAAACCCCAAAAAATATAAACAAAGTACAGAACATTGCATCTATGGGGATCAATATGACAAATTTGAATATTGTAGAAAAAGTAAGAATGAAGTGACCAACGGGTCGGTGGCCTAGCAGTATCAAGCCCTTACTTCAAAAAAATAAGTCAAGGGTTAAAACTTCAGTGGAGGCATGTGTGTGTGAGTACCAACTATGAGGAAAAAAAAAAAAAAAGTGAGCTACTTGCAAAAGAAACTCCACAACCAACCGAAGTCTTATCGGGTGTTCGGACGCAGGCATTTTTTTTTTTTTTTTTTTTGAACAATTTTATAGAAAAATGTATCAAGATCAGATGTATTCCATCCTATATTTTCTTTGTTGAAGGCGTGAATTTCTGAGACATACTTGGCACTCCAAAAAAATAAACTCCTCTCTTCCACAGCTGTTAACACTTCAGCAATACTTTAATGTACTAATCATAAAAATCATTTTTTATAAATAATAAATATTATCAAGGCACCAACGGCATCCCCCTATCAGGGCCTATGGCATGCCCGCATTTAGCTCTTAATATGTAAATGACCTACACGGGCAGCAGCATATCAACTAAGGTTTCAACAGCGAACTGATGTACAACCAATGGCTCACCGAGAAAGAAAATAACTAGTAAAAAAATTGAGAAAAATGGCATAACAAACGCTTGCAAATCTTGGAACAATTTTCCTTGTGTATGAAAACCTATGTTACACGGACTCTTCAAAAGTACTGAAGTACCAGTGTCGGACACATATTGCTCAAGCATGGGTATCCGAATCTTTTGGTTGGACATGTATTTAAAAAACATATTCAATCATTCAATTTTATTATATTGTATTTTTAATCAGTTAAATGTCAATATTGAACATTGTGTTACACAAAAACAAGGGTTATAAACACAAAACCCCCCTCTACTTTTAAAATTGTGCATAAAACCCTAATAGAATCAAATAGGTCCCTCAACAAACAAAACCCATCATTTTACCCCCAAAACCCGTGATCAGCCCGTTAATTGGGTTGTGAAATAACAAATTTGACTTTACTATTTAATATTAAATTTAAACTTAAAAATTATTTTTGTAAGTGACCATTTTACCCTTTCATTATTTAATCCAAATTATCGTCACTACGTCGTTTTGTCACCAAACAAGCAAACAGTTTCCTTCCCTCTTTGATTTCACGCAAAGCTTATATGCATATAACCATACGAGGTGAAGGATCGTTCACTATATTGCAAGAGAGGATCCCAGCGACAATGACCGTTAAGACAAGAGAGAGGATCCCAGCGACGATGGCTTCACGATTCCGGCGAGGTGAAGTACTGTTCACTATATTGCAAGTATGTTTTGACACTGATCGCAAAGTTAGTCTTCGTTTTCCAGCCAGGAAAAAACCACCATGGACGTGTACAGCTCGAACTGCAAGCAGACCGCAGAGGTGGTGTTCGATCAACTCGGTCGGAAATACAGTCTACTCCTCAATTCGCACTCCATCGACGATTCCTCCTCTTTTTTTTTTCTTTTTTTATTTGATAATTAAACATGTTATGGTAAAAATATTGGTAACCGACGATTCCTCTTCTCTTAACGGAGAACCTTCACCAACGAATCCAGCAACAACCCGGTTCATGTCGGAGGACCCACCAACTCTCTTCTCACCGACGGTGATCTCTCCACCTTCTCTTGGAATTCTGAAACCTTTCTTCAATTTCATTTTTTTTTGGGTTAAGTCCAGCTACACCCCCTGAACATTGCCAATATTCCACACACCCCCCCTCTACATTTCATAATTCCACCTACACCCCTTGTCAGTAACGGCCGTTTAATTTACTAACAGAAAGGTGTGATTTTACTATTTAACCCTTGAATTATATATCAAAATTTATAACTTAAAGGAAAAGACCTTAACACCCTTTTTCTCTCTCTACTCACACACCCTATATATATCTTCTTTTTTCATTTTTCTTCATTATTGCCTATGACAAAGAAACTATGCCACCGATAGAATACACAAACAGCAACTATCGGAAAAGATGGTTCTTAACATAGTCAAGCCATTCTCCTTACTGCCCGTCGTTCAATTGCAAGGAATTGAACTGAACATTACCGAAGAAGGGATTGCCAGACTGAACTGGGTGAAGCGATCTCCGGCGAGTTACAAAATCGATCTCCCAGTTTCTCCACCTCGACCTACCACCACCATGGTCGACCACCAACTACCACGTATATATACGCAGACATATATATACGGACAGACACATATACACATAGACACACATATACATTACACACAAGTCTGACTCCGGCGAGCTTCGATCCAGTCCGCGCGAGCAGTACAAGTGAGCCTCAGATTCGACGACGTTGAAGTCTATGTGAGCCTCGGTGAAACCCAATTCAAAACGGCCATAGACACGCCAGAGCTCTGTCGAAGAATCCAGCCTAGCTCTATAACTTCATCACCATTGTCGAAACTGCAAGCTTCACCGACCTTGTCACAGTTCGCCTCATGCCGGTCATTTCATTGCTCCAAACAATCTCATCGGCGTCCTTTATTGAAGCATGCCCGCCATTCACGAAAATCTTATATACGGCGGTGATGGTAGATTCCGATGGTTTCGACGGCAATACGAGAAACCCAGCGACTAACAGCAAACCTATGCTCTGAAGTCTGATCAGTGGCCACGGAAAACCAAACGGCGAGAAACATGCCGAACAAGCAAGGACTGAAAACACGAAGGCAAATAAAATTTCTTTGGCGGCTGTGGGATATGGCGTTAATGGAGGACCGAATCGGAACAGTGGCCACGGTTGAAGGCCATGTTGCCTCGAGACCAACGAAATCGACGGCAGTAGAGAACTTGATTTTTTGACTGAATCGGAGAGCAAAAAGGACTGCAAGACGGGGATGACGGCGACCACAATAGCTGTGACGAGGACAGCGGCGACCTCTGACTGGACTGTTCTTACTGGCGATGCAAGGATGTGCGACGAGGGTCTATTCTTAGCTACGAGAAGTGGGTCTGAACTAAACGACGGTGAAGAGGATTGAACGAAGATGCATCGTCTCTTACCGACGAGAACGTGAGGACGACGGCGACATCGACCTGAAATGGTGGGGTTTTGATCGACGGGGGCAAAATTGGGCATTCCCACCGTCCACGGAGATGTATGTGTGTGTGACTGTGTGTGAGACAAAGAGAATCCTCTTTGATTCTAGAGTTGAACTTTGAGCATCCTTCTTCACTACAATTTAGAGCTTGATTAAGATGGCATTCCCACCTTATGCTTCACTAATAATTTTAGGATTGATTGGGATTTTGATTTGATTTGTTTCTTTATTGCTATGGATGGATTATTAGGCTTTGTATAGAAGAATAACTCTTTTTAGAAGATCTATCTTGTTGAAAAATTGAGGGCAATTTTGTAAATTTGCATTGGTCAATGAGGTTAAAAATGTCATTTCAAGTATTGTAAGGGCAAAATTGACCTTATACCAATTTGTTCATGCTGACACCGTCCGTTACTTAACGGCAGGGGGTAATTTGCTACATAAACCAAAACCTCAAGGGAAGTAGGTGGAATTATGAAACGTAGAGGGGGTGTATGTGGAATATTGGCAAACGTCAAGGGGTGTAGGGGGAATTAACCCTTTTTTTTTTGCTCCAAAATCTTTTCCGGTGTATTGGGTATTTGAAGGTCTATTCTGGGTTTTGTTAATAATCTTCTTGGGTCTTGTATAATTGTCTATCTATATATATACACACACTGTATATAGCTTGATCATATGGGCGGTCTTCAAACTTTTTGTTAGAAACCCAACGGCGTTGATGCGGAAGAAACCCTCTTCCAATCGTCGTTTTCGCAGCCATTTAGATCTATCCACGGGAATTTTTGTAACTTTAAAAAAATAATTTTCAGATTTTAATTTAATATTAAATATCAAGGTCAAATTTGACATTTCACAGTCCAATTAATGGGCCGGTCACGGTTTTCGGGTAAAATGACGGGTTTTGTTAGTCGAGGGACCTATTTGATTCTACTGGGCTTTTATGTACAATTTTAGAAGTAGAGTGGGGTTTTGTGATTTTAACCCTAAAAACAATATTTTACTCTAAAAAATAATATAAAAAATTAAACAAAATGAATATATGGCATTGGCAATGTCCATGTGTCCTTTCTGTTTGGAGATTTGACAAGTCCGCCATATGGATACAAACACACGTACCCGAGTCCATGTAACATAGATTAAAAGATATTACAATAGCAAAAATAAACATGAAGAAAGAAGAGAACTAGGTACCTCCAGCTGCAACAAGTTTCTCTACACGTGCAACTATGTGCTTTCCATAAGTGTACTTCTTCAAAGCATTCAGATGAACCTTTATTCGGTTAAGAATCAGTTCAAGTTGCTGGTCATCACAAGTCTCCAGCACTTTCTGCACGACGTAGTTTCCAAACTGATCTTTCATCATTGCCTGACTCCAACAAGAGAAAATAGAAAAGAGGAAGATTAATGAGTGGCAAACAGTATCACCATGAACCAGACAACAGACAATATTAGAAAGCATTAGCAAAAAAAATCTGTCAGAGCAATTGAGCATGAACTACATATAAGAATCCTGTAACAGCTTCAGAGAAAGGAGGACAATAATTCCAATCACTGGAGAACTGTTTGAAAGCATAGAAACCCAAGGGCAAGGATTCAAATCTCATTACACTATATTATATATATATGAAAGCAAAAGCATCTGTTAATTAACCAAAGTGCCATTCAGCTTCCCGAGTCTCCTGCTGAGGATGGAAATGTTGGCCAAATGCTCTATGTGAGACACACATAAGCACGCGAGCACACACGCAGAAGCGCACACATGCATGCGCGCACACAAGGATTCCCCACATTCTTCTATCATTTTATTTATGCAAGTTCTTGTTGAATGCACAACATTCAATGTCTACACAATATAAATTTTCCACTCAATTTTAGTGTCTTCATTTTATTTTTACTTTTTTATTTTTGAGTGGGGATTGGGTGGAATTGGTATATGGATATTTGTTATCTCAATCTTTTAGTCCTATTGTCTCAAGCAGTCTCCATTATTTTAATTATGTGAAGGTTGAACAGTCTGTTGAACACCCATCAACAATACTAAATAACTTGTTTTCATCTCCAAGAGCATGGTTCTAAGGTTTGAATTTCCTGGCTGTTTTTTCACTTTAGAACTTAATTTTTATGAATTGTGTTAATTCATTGAAAATATTTACCAGAACTTTTAGAACTACTTTTACTATTCTATGTTTTAACTGGTTTTGTTGATATGTTGCTGGAAATGGAAATTTTTAGATTAGTTAATGAAAAGTTAATTGGCCAAAGTTTCCTACTTCAAAAAAAAAAAATTCCCATTTTCCAGTTTATTGCTCCCTCTCTCTCATGCTTATATAAAATAGAACACCAAATTATTTGCAAGAATAGATTTTTCCTTGTCAGGTAGAACATGCGAAAATCTGATTCAGAAGCCAAATTTATGTTTTAAGCATAATCAAAATGGCCGGGGGTCCAATTGGCTCAATGATTCTATTAGATCTTTTGACCAGAAAAGGACACCATCAATATATGTCACAAGTTTCGGTGATTGATTTTGGAGGAACTGTAAACATAGCAGGGACTACCTAATATAATGCATTCGCCTGTCCATGATGATTGGTTTCTAGCTACAAATGCTATTCAAAACCATAAAACCAAATTCTCCAGTAATTCCCTACCTTCCCAAACCTATAACTTCTTCCCTCAAATAGGTCAATGCTTTTTATATCATAGTAAAAAGAACATATAATTTTATTGATTTTCCATACCAAAAATAATAATAAAAAAACAAATTTTTAGAAGTAAAAAAGTAAGTCCAAAAAATTAACATGATAATTGAAAACAGTAAAGTTAAAACGTAAAAGGTGAGGAGTGGTAAATAGTTGAAAGCATTAAAGATAAAAGGCTGGTTGAGTAGTAAAGAAGTGTATTGGGTTTTTGGGGGGGGGGGGGGGGGGGGGGGGGGGTTGTCAAGAAACACTATTAATACGACAAATCATGAAAGAGCTGACTGATTGAAATACCCTGTTCTATCACTTTGGGTTAATCGGTAAAATTCCCGGCAGAAATGCACAGAACCTTCCTTTTATGTTCCGAGCAGTAAAAGTTTCCGATGAAAGGAAACTTGAATAACAACAAAAAGGACAAAAGATGATGAAGAATTTAGGCCACCCATCAATAAGATGCAACTAAGCCACAGAAAGAAGGATGAATTGGATATTGGTTGATGCAACTTAAGGACAATGAACATATGGCGACGAGTGAAAGAAAATGTCCAATAAGCTTGACATGCCTCTTCAATTTATACAGTGATGTGGAGCATAAGGCCAACTGACTAACCTGAAGCGGCTCATTTTCATCCGTGGAGCCAAGCATCTCATTCACCAGGATTTGGCATTCCTCGGGAGTTCCAAAAGTCAAACACTTCTCTACAACATTGGAGGCGAACTTTTGTTGGCTCATATGAACTATCCGTCCAATAAGTTTATTAATTATAGCAGAACGTTCATGTGGCTTCCCGTGTTCAAGCACATGCTGTCGGAATAACATGCAAGCAATCAGAAGGGTAGATGTAGCAACTGAGCTAAAACTAATAACACACAAGAAGTGATAAATTTCATCTAATAACACACAAGAAGTGATGAATTTCACAAATTTAATCCTATTTTTTATGCCAGTGGAGTGGACAATCGTGGATTTTACAAGGGGCAAAATTAGAAGGAAGCAATTGTACAGCCTCAATTGGAAAATATGCACCAAAAAATATTCATTGCTCACAAGGGGAAGTTAAGGCTATAACATGTATGATAAACAAATTTTAAAAATTAATTAATAAAACCATGTGATAATAAATAACATTACAAAATTTATGTACGTTAGATGAGTAGGAGTTTCTAGGTATCAGCTCTTGATGATAAGAAGATCAATTTACCAAACAACAGAGCACAGTAGACTGGAAGCCCACAGTTGTCATATTAAAATTAGCCTATTAGGAAAAAACCTAAAAAAAAAAAATTGATTTAAATCAACAAGTGACTTCACAATTCGAAAGAAAAGACAATCAACACTCTGTAGCATGTCCATGAAAGTAAATGCAATTTATTAGAAGTGGTTTCTCTCTTATGCCAATCAACATTAGATCTACCGTAGTACACTTCCAACAGATTTTCCTGTATTAGTTGATTTGGAGCAATTACGCGGTCTGACAAATTTAAATCCTTTTTAAATGAAAAGGAATGCTGCATCCCAATCAACTATGAAACACTAACTTATCTAATGAAAAGGAAAAGGGAATTGAAGGTAAATATGAAGGAATGATATTGTATTCTCTCTCAGCTACACATTGATTTCCACCATTCAAATGGAAACAAATTCAACTTGAATGGGTTAGCAGTCACCGAGTAGGCCAATCAAGGGAGTTAATGGTATGAAAAAAGAAAAGGAAATAAATGATGGTTTAGCTCCCCATGTTTTTATACGCAAAAGATCTTAAAGAACTGAGAAATTCGTTTGACAAAACCCATTGTCCGAAATTCCGAATTAACAATGTGAAAATATCAAAAGCAAAGTCATTTATCCAACTTACAGTACAACCCCGAATATGCAGGAAAACGGTGGTCAGTAAAAAGCTTCCAAAAAATACAGCATACCTGAACTACATAATTCCCATATTGATCCTGCGCCAACATGCAAACAGACTGCAAAATCTCATCCATCACTATATATTGGGTTTTTGGGTCTTTGCAATGCTCCAGGACTCTCTGTCACATGAAAGTTGTACTATTTAACAATCATATTCGTTTTACTCATTTCCGTCGATTTTCATGATCTCCACAATATAAAATATATGGCAAATTAATAACAGATAGCTCTCAACCTGTATGACACGACAACCATATGGATGGGTAGACAGTGTCAAAACTTGATCATAAACTATTGCGACGATGAATTGAATGGCATCTTGAGGTATGCATTCAATACACTTCTGAATGACATGATTCCCGTTCTGATCACGTACACAGCGCATGACATGACCATCAAGCTCTGCAACCATTCTAGTCTGCTGGTCCAGATTGACAACTTCTATAGCCTGGATAATTCAAACAAAGTGTGTAAAAGCTAGTACCTTCAGCATTAACGCTGTAGCATATTAGTCTCCATTCAATTAGCACTGGGATACTTTTGCACATAATAAGCACTATTATGGAGTGGACCTTGATCTTAACCCCCTCACGTAGTCTTTAGAGGATACTTCTTTAAATAATTTAAGTCAAAAATATAAAACCAGTGTGTTCATTTCTTAATCAAGGTGCCAAGCATATTTAGGCAAAATCCACATATTTGTTTCTATCAATCTTTTAAAACAAAAATAGGAGCTTTTGACTTCCCATGACTAGCAAGACACAATCCACTAATTTTCAGCATGTTGTTTGGTGCTCTTCCCATTTTCTTGCTTCAGAAAAAGTGCATCGAAAGATTAATTTTCATCAGGTGAATGGTATAATCGCCATTTAAACAAGAAAAAAAAAAAAATTAAGCTTAAAAAAAAAAATTAAGCTTTCTGGTAGACTGAAAAGGCTAGCAGGAACATAAAACTGTTCCACAATTTAATAACTATCCAGTAGAGAAGAAATTTCTATACAATAGTTCGTGATCATAAAACCCTGTGCATTCAGGGGCGGACCGTAGTGTAGACCAAGGGTGGCCAAGTGTAGACCCAATTTTTTAAAGAAACTTACCATATATGCTTATATGATAAATTAATTTTAAAAAATATAAAAGGAAATTGTCTTTTGGCCCCTCCAAAATTTTTGAGAAACTTATATGAATATTTTAACTCCTTGATATTGTGATCTGATGAAGTTTATAAAAATCTATAATGACCTTACCAAAATGAGATATCAAGAGATTAGACAGTGCTAGTGCTCAAGATAATGTGTCTTTGGACATGAAATAAGATAAAGAGCATTAAAATAAAGCAATAAAAAAGGTTTGTATAAGATTTCAAAATTTTATATTATTATTATTTTTAGCATTTGTTATCATTTAGTCATAATTAAAATGTTTAATTGATTAAAATTACGTTATGTGATACCACAAATTTTTTTTTCTGAATCAATTTAAAACTATATTCATATTCACTTTATTTTTCTCATTTTAGCATTTTCACCGCAATTTTTCTCTCTATATATATTGTCATTATATGCTCTTAATAGGTTATGCAATATTGGTTGTTTACAAGTAATCTTATTTTAGAATTTATCTTTGGTATTTTGAATCTATAGTTAAAATTCTACTGTAGATAAAAATACATTATAAATTATATATTTTATTAAAAAATAATTTTTTTAAACTAATTCGGCCCCCCCAAATCCAACTTCCTGGGTCCACCCCTGTGTGCATTATTCACCATTTTCTAAATCAAGCTTTGATCTGCTTTCCACCGTTTCAGCCACAAAAAGTTGGAATAAGAACCCGTTGCGATATTGGCTAGTATTATTTAGCCTGTTGCTGAAGCATGAGTTAATGCTAAGAATGTCAAAAGTGTGCAGCACTATTGGACAGCACATAAAGTCACCCACATATATGTATACATAAAAGAAATTTTGAGATAATATACAGTAGGTAGTTTGATCAACATGGTGAAGATACCTTCTGGATCACTCGACAGCCATACATTTGAAGGCTAAGGGTCAGGACGTGCCCGCTGAGCTGTTCAGCTAGTTCTCTTAACTGAGATGCAGTTCCATGTTCAAGAAACTGAAAACAACAGTAAGTGTTACCCAGGCTTAACTCTTTCCAAATTCTTGTACAGAAATTAACTACATAATTGAACATACAAAATATACTAGTACCTACCCAATTAACACATTGAACGCAAATGAATTGAGACAGTAATTTACCTTCTGTATCACATAATTACCAAACACATCAGTCATCAGTGTAAGAGCTTGAGGCATAATTTCATTGAAAACCATGTTTATCTCTTCTATTGTGGCAGTTTCAAGTTTCTGTTGGATAAACCTACTCCCATACTGATCAACGCTGCATACAAGGTTAATATGAAGTATATAAATATCAGGAGGCTTGGACAGGAAACAGAAAGGGTAGGTAAATTAATGAGCAATATGTACCTGAATTCAACAACATGACCTGCAATTTCTGAAAGCTCAAAACACTTAGTTTTATTGTTCTTGAACTCATCTACTAATGAGAATGCAAAACTTTCATCAAATTTACCACCGCCTTCTGAGTGCCAAGATCCCATGACACCCCCAGAAAAGTTGCACAAGCCTGAAGGAAAACGCATGTTAGAATCACCAAGCTTTACTGGACTTCTTGATTCAATTGGGGAGCTTGGGAAAGGGGGACCTGCCAAAGGGCTTCCAGGATAGGACATGCCCACACCAAATGCCAGGTTACCATAATAATTCAATCTACCAGATTTACCATGGTAGGGAAGGCCATACTGTGTTTTCTGAGGTGAAAGCAATGGCCCCGGGTAAGCTTTTTGAAATCCAAGTAAATTCATGTATGAATTACTGATGCATTCCCTATTCATAGATGGGTCATTGAGGGCCGCAATCTGTGCAGCAGCATACTCAGTTGATCTCAAGTACTGAAGATATGAGGGATCTGTGAGGGGTGCCTGAAGAGTACTCCCTGCACAGTGATTTCCAGTTCTGCGAAGATTCTGCAATTCTGCTGCTGTAGCTATTAAATTTGGTCCCAAATCCAAACCTCCACCAAATGCTGTAGAGTCCATGCCAGATATACGCATCGCTGATGCAGCAGCAGCAGCATTTTCAAAGGCAGGCAGTAACATTGTGGATGGTGATGTATGGTTAATGGCATACCCACTTAAGCCATGGACTGAAAATGATGAATTTGGACCATCCAAATTCTGATAGTTTGAAGATAAACTTCCTCTGCTATTGAGAGTTGGTGTTGAAAATCCTTTTAGATACAAGTTTGTAGACACAGCTGGTTTGTGAATTTCAACTTGTCCATCAGCAACAAAGGAAGAGTGGTTCAAATTCATACCAACCCAATTACTTTTACCCATATTAGGATATGATCCTTTGGCTGATTGTGAAATGGAACGCGCATGAAAATTCCCAGATTCAGATGTATTTTGGTATGGATGTTGTTTACTATGGTTCTTATTGTCTAGCCAATTAAAGAGGTTCTGGTGATCATCAACCTCATGCTGAATTCGAGAGCAAGAATGGTTCTCTTCATCTATCTTGCCATTCATTGCTAATGTCATGCCAGACAATGCAGCAACTAGATCTGCAGGTTCATCTATACCAGGCAACACGCCAGTCGATGAGTTTGGACCAGTGACACTTCTTCTATCCATAGAGCCAGCCTTCCCTCCTCCAGCAGGCGGGATGCAAGGACTCAGAGCCCTAGCCATAAGTTGAGGGTCGGGACCGGTACTTCTAGACAAGGGGGCACCCATAGCAGATGCATAAGAATGAGAAGCTGGTGCACCAATGTTTTGGACTGCAGGCGTGGCTTGAATATTTGCACCAGAAAGTGAAACATCCATTGATGCCAATTCATTATGCAGATGAGCAAAATGGGATTCAGAAGATTCAACACTCTCATCAAATGCATTACGGGTAGCTGGACGAGAAGGATGTCTAGAAACAGATGTTGCATGACTTGCATCATCCTGCATTTAACAAAACCTGTTATCACAACCATAAACCAGCCATCTGAAAAATAAATACAAAAGCATGCATAATGTTTAGCACAACATGAATAAACATGACAAAAGTGATGGATAATGCAGTAAAAAAGATAGGGAACGAAAACGTTCAAGCACATGAAATAAAAGGAAGAGGAAGAAGCTTTTTCCGGAAACTCATTTCTCAGTGTCATAAAAGTAAAATCTGTACATTGCCAAAGTTATAACAAATTAAAAACATGAGAAATTCTTTATCACAATAGACACTCACAGTTCTAATGTAATCCACTTAATTTGCACAAATGCAGACATACAGATGAATGCATATATTGTGTGCGCATATAAATTATGTTCCAGAGCACAGTTCACATCGGTAATCCTTGGATAACAGCTTCTAAAGTACGCAGTTACTGAACTTCAATTATAGGCTAGGGCAGTATAATGTTTCTATAATTTCATTCCATCTATCGAAGAACTACAAATTCTTGATAGTTATTCAAATTGTTAGAAAGTTTCATAATGTCACATAAGATATCTTACATTAAAAAATTGACGCATATGCTAAGTGTTCACTAAATAAAAGAAAATAAATGGGAAGACGATATTGCAACCAAACCCGCCACCCAACCCCAACCCCCCCCCCCCCCCCCCCCCCCAAAACACATGATAAATGCAGTCCAATTTTTAAGTGAAATGACATTAGTGTCCCAAACTCCATAAATAAGAATTCAAAGTGTTAAAAATCAATTTTTTCATTTACATTCTAAAAGGACAAAAATAAAAAATAAAAAAACTGAAAAAAAATATTATAATAATAATAATAATAATAATGAGTAGAAATATCACTTTCTAAAAAAAATTACATTCTTTGGGTTGCAGAAAAGTTATTAGTTTAATGACACCAGATGACACTGTGTGAACATCAGAGCAGAACATATTATAAAGCAAATGGTGCATAGAAATTATATCTCCAACTTTTAGTTACTTGTTGAAATTAAATGCAGCAACTGTTTAAATATAATGCACATCATGACCACAAAATCCTTCCTAGAGTGCAGTTGAAACAATACTATTTTGACAATCTTGATCAAAAAAATTCCGTCTGATTTCCAAGACAAAAAACGGAACTGGCCCTGCTGCTTAGACAATAAAATTAGAAAGAACAAAATAAGGCCATCTTACTGTCATGTGACTATTATTTATCCTAAACATCAACATATATCTCTAACTCTTTTGAATTGCGCTTACCAGAAGTGAATAAGAAAAGAATGAGCACAGTCATCCCATAATTGAAGTTTTAGAAAAACGAGCGATTAGATAAATAGAGGAAAGGAGGAAAGGAAGCACCAGTGTATACTAAAAATCTGCAATAATCTGTGGCTCACAAACATATACAACATATGGTGGGTAAAGCTATCTTAGTAATCATCAACTAATCTTCTATGCTATAAAGGTCATACAAAAAGATAAGTTGCAAATTTATAACCAATCTTCCTAAAATGTTAACAAAAAAGGAAGATTAGCAATTCAAGTTAGAGCAATGATACGCAAAGCGAAAGAGTCCCCGAAACCTTACGTGGCTTGGCCACATCATACTCTAAAAATAGTAAGCATCCACTCTTATGCAACAAATCTCATCTTCCTCAACACTGGTTTCACAGTCAACCATTACCGTCCTCCACAACACCACCTTCAACCATTACCGCCCTCCACAACAACACCTCCTCTTCTTCAACCATCCAATTCCTCCGCCTTCTCAAACAATCAGATTCCGATCCTGATCCCTTCAAGCTCAACAAGTGTGAAGTAGTTTGGTCTTCAGATCTATCCGATTCACCATCGACTGTATCCGATTCGCGGACGAAGCTCCATCACCACCACCACCACCACCACCACCACCAATTCCATCCACAAAAGTCCGGCCTCTCTGCCGCATTATTGGACTACCAACACTCTCCAGTTCATTGTAAGCCAACTCTAAACCTGGCACCGGCGATTTTGTTGGTGCCAGTGTCGGAGGGTTCTACCAAGTACCAACTACCACCACCAATTGCCTCCGGTGAATGCGCCAATTTGGCTGATGAATTTTTTTCTTTTTTCCCTCCTGCTATACCGCATAAGAGAGGAGGTTTAATTTTTGTTTTTTAAGAGTATGACTTGCCAAGGCACATCATATTCGGGACTCCTTCGTGTTTTTAATTCGTGTTGTCTATCATTATCCTTCACGTTAATGTTTTATATGCTCGTTCCTTTGGGGTTTACTAAGGAATCAAGGAAAGATGAGATCCCTCAAGTCTCTACATTAAATATTTCACAACATATATCCATACCAGATTATCACTGTTGTTAACAAATCGATTTTGCATCAAGAGTCAAGTGAAACTTCTGAAATCCACCGGGGGGCTGCAATGATGAACAACTAACCCATGATAAGGCAAAAGTTAGAAGGCATTTCAGTACAAATATTACTGGGAGGATATAGTGGTCAATAAATTTGAAGTTGAGTGAGAGAGGGAGGGAGAGAGAGTCGAAGGCGGTTAAACAGTCCAAAGATTCAATGAAATGAAGCCCAAATAGAAAGATTAAAATGAAGAGACATGAACCTAAAGACCAAGTGTTCTTTTTCACTAATAGAAAGCATTTCAGAAATATTCAGTCCTCATTCATATAATCTAATAACCAATATTAACCCTGATTACTGCAATATTTGTACAAATGTCATGCTAGAGCAAATTTCATAACACAAGAAAAAATGATATCCTACATTATTTTATTCCCATTAGCAGGATAGATCAACAGTATCTTTAACTTGTTTATCTTGGGTCTTTTGCCAACCAAATACGTTCCATCATTCTAATAACCACCAAAGCATTGTATCAATTTTAATGCCATATTGTATTACTTTACTATATTGAAATTGGTATGAAGAAAACATGAAGATTCAAAAAACAGGGAAAGGAAATGGGAAAACTGGTTTTATTGGCAAATTGATTTCAATCCAAAACTTTAACAGAAATAAACTCGGTGCCCCTCGTTGTCAATTCACAAGTTTTCAACTCTCAATCTTGGTTTCAGAGATTCCACTGTTGTTCCACGGAAACAAGGGCACTTAAGTATTTCCCTTTTCCACCTTTTAATGGAAATGAAGACAAGCCTCTCTTCTGCATAATTTGGCATTTTAGCTAGCAAACAGACAACTGGGGATATTATAACTGGAGAGAAAAGGAATGCACTACCATGAAGCAAATATCAAATGATGGAAAATCTTATTTTATCAGTAGGATAACTACTAGCATCAATCCCAGTTGAAATCAGCATATCAGATGATTAACTTCGGGAAGTAAATAGTAAAGAATAAAAAAAAAAATTAAAGATAAACAAAATGAATACAGTACAACAGCAAACCTAAAGTTTAAAACAAAATCTGCATTAAAAGAACATCATAACACATGCAGAAATGGGCTTTTGAACCTATTGACTTTATAGCATAGGAAGAAAACAGTACTGATTAATGGCAGACAATGTAAATTACTTGATTTCAATAAGTTGCTAATATCAAGTTCTAGTTTTAAGAAGCAGAATATATCATCAACACATGTAGATACTCAATTTAAATAATTCAAAAAGGAAATCAGGGTGAGATTTATTCAATAAAAATCACCTGAATGATCTCTGCAATGCACTTCTTTGAACTTCCCAATCCCAACCCCTGCAATCCAATGAGTCCATCACCACCCCACTCCGTTGCACCTTGCGGCTTCCTTAACTCAATTCCACTCTCTTCTTTCTTCCTCCTATCACCAATTCCCCCCAAGCCCAAATTTCCGTTGCTACAGTTCTTTTGCTGTGCAAACCTCAATTCGTCCTTGGAAAACAGAGGCGGCCGAAGCCTGGGATTTATATTCGCATTCGAATAGTAATACGATATGTACGCTGGATCAGACCTCAGCTCCTCCTCCGAAACACCCCCAAAATTTATGGCCCCGCCAGAATTATGATGGAACAAGCCTCCCACAGCAGTCAGCGATCCTCCGACGGTCGGAGGGGCTGAACCACTACGATACAGACTCAGTTCCCTCTCTCGATCATCACTCATTTCTTGTCTCTGTTGCTCTCTCAGCAACATATCTAACTCTCCGCCATAATTGGTGCTTTGAAGCATCGATGGCGCTCCAATGTCAGGCATTATCTTCGAATAACTACCACTATCAGTGATCATAAATATATATATATATATATAACAGAACGAAAACTGTGCAACAAACAGAAGAGCGGGTTTGAGAGCTCAAAAAAGTGCCGAATATTCGATCTTTTTGGAGTTAGAGCTTGAAATAAATCTAAAGCTAAAGATGAACGATTCAATCGAACATTAAATAGTAAGCGAAAGTATGTGTTCTGCTGTAGTGAGTTTGAATTTACTCATAGGTATAGAAATCGCGTTGAAAATGACCAATCATTGCGATGCTGTGGTGAAGAGCGTCGGTGATCGACGATGGTTTTCGCCATTTTCAGAGCGAGATGTGTGTGTTTAAGAGAGAAGCGGGGGAAGGAGTTGAGAGAGAACAGTAAACTGAAGAACGGAGTGATGAGCTGGGGAAATATGGACGGTTTGATGAAGTGACGGACGACAGAGATTAATTCTAGTGGGACTTGTTCTTACAGTGGCTCTTTAGGGTTTTATTTCAAGGATTTAATGCCGGTTTGGTGGGTTTGGATATTTTTTCATTGAAATTTCAATTATTACTAAAATGCAAACTTATGGGGTGTTTGATTCAATTTTTAAAAAAAAAATTATTAAAAATTTTTTAAAAAATTTAAAAGATTGTGTTGTGAATGAAAAGTGTTTTTAATTGAGTTTTCAAAATTATTAAATAAATTTTTATATAATTTTTTAATTTTGTTATTATAAGAAAATTGTTCTAAAAGAAAATAAACGAGCAGCTCGTTGTATTCTAAAAATCTAGTTCAATACTATTGTGATACTTTTCAACATGCATGTAAGAATAGGGTTTAGCTTGATTATATACCTGTTTGCACACCAACACCAACACCAAAGTAAAGAAAAAATTAAAAAAAGTAAAAATTTAATAAATTATTGATAGACATTAATTATGTTTTATTTGAGGGTCCGTTTGGTTAGCTATAAATTGATGGTAGAAAGTAAAAAGAAGAGAAAGTAAAGTGAAAGAAAAGAAAATTATATTCCTATCATGCATTTGGTTAGCATGATTTTTTTGTAAAAATTTTGTGGAAAAATGTTGTTTCATCGTGAAAGGAAGAGAAAGTAAAGTGAAAGAAAAAAAAATTATATTTCTATCATGCATTTGGTTAGCATGATTTTTTTGTCCAAATTTTGTGAGAAAATGTTGTTTCATTAGTTTGGTTAGCTGAAAAGAAAATGATTTATATGCCAAAACTAACCTTATGAATTCAATACTAAGTAATTTACATCATGCAACAAGCATAATAAAAAATATAAATAATTGTATTATGAATAAAAATATATGTGCGTACATATATATGGAGTCCTAATTTAAAGAGTCATAAAATTATAACTTAACTATGAATCCTAATTTAAAGAGTTAGAAAGTTGTAATATAATTAGAAGTCATAATTTATCAAAAAGAAGTCGTTCCTTTTGTGATTCTGAAAAAGAAAGAAGAAAAATAACTGACAATGGTATAATTGAAAACTAACATATAATGATACAACTTTCACGGGAAACTGAAATTTTCGCATGTTTTATGGAGTCAACATTTTGAAGAAAATCAATCAGTTGCGGGAATATCATTTTCCTACGCTAACCAAACTACAAAATAATTTTAAAAAAATTCAGTTCTTTTCCTTTTTAGCTAGTTGACGCTAACCAAACTAACCCTAATGCACATGATATTTATAATAGAAAAAATTTATCAGCACAAGGAAACCTATTACAATAGATAAATTAGAGAAAAATAATAATAATAATAATAATAATTAGCTACTTGGTTTGTAATTTTGAAAATAGTTCTCAATAATTGAAAGAATATAAAACTGTTATCAAAGAACAATCTTTTATAAAAAAAATTTAAGGAGTAATGATACTTACACTGATTTGTTGCACCGAATGTTTCTGATTGGGTAGAGGGTCGCACTTCTTTATTTATGCGATTTGTTATAATGAATTATCAGACCTATTTCTTTTAATCGATCTATTTATGCATAAATAAATAAATAGGTCCCTCGATTTACATGTACTATGCATAAATAACCAATTAGAAACATTCGGTGCAACAATTCGGTACAACAAATCGGTGTAAGTATCATTACTCTTTTTTAAAACATACATTTTTATACTTAACTTTCATAAAACAATTTTTAGAAAACTGAACCAAGTAGAATTTTTGTACAGCTTTCAATTTTCAAAGAACAGAAAACTATTTCTATAGTTAAAAACCAAGCAGGTCTGAAAACTACCCAAAATTTAACTTATCTATATATTATGAAAATTAGCTAATTGCAAAAAAAAAACCCCTCGACTTTCACCCGTTAGCAAAAAACTCCTTTTATGAATTATTTTAGCAAAAAAAAACCCCTCAACTATCATGAGGGGGTATTTTAACTTCTGTCCATTTAAGGGGTTATGTTTTGGACGAAAATACCCCTTAAACAGAAAGGAAGCCATCCGGACCAGATTTGATTAAGCTAATAATTATCACCCGGAATTGTATAGTAAAGAAGGTGAAAATTTGTTATGGTGTTTCACTAAAACACCAGGAATTTTATTGGCTTAAATTATACATCAATTGAGCAAGACTAGTTGTGGTAGTGAAAGTAAACGTTCTTTATTCCAATCCAGTGCTATATATATAGTATATGTTAATCTATAATACATGCATATTCTGCAACAATGTATAATCTATATATTAATCTGCCAAGTTTTCAATTGTATATGTTCTATAACAGTTCATGAGAAGTAGTAGAGAGATTGATCAAGAAATAGAGATGCCGAACTTGGAATTCCTATAACATCATGAAGGTAAAAAAATGGTGGATTGAGTACTTGATGTTCAGTTGGCTTTCTCATTGAAATTGGTGGCCGGACCAGATTTGTACTTCAGATGGTGGCCACAGTGAAGGCAGCGCCGACACCATCACAACCTTCGCTCCAAGCTCGAGAAGGATCTGAAAATTACAGGAATGGGTCTTGTCTCTGTCTTCGACAATGACCTCGACGCTGCGACTAGATCAGAAAGTTTAAGGCGACGGCTTTTTTGGTGGTTATGGCAACAACGGTGGGTAAGGGATTTAGGGGCAGATCGGTGGTGGTGGTGTTATTATATGGGTATGTTACAGTCAATTTCACACACACATAAACCCAGCAAAGACTGGCTAACTGTAGTGATAAAAATAGCAAAGGCAGTTCGGTGATAAATCCGGAGAGCTCTACCCCGGTGTACGTCAGTTCCGGTGCCAGCAACAAGCTCCAATGACACTCTAGCAAGATGACCCACCACAACAATTGGATCTTAGAAATGTTCAACGTTTCAATAAGGGATCCGGCTGCAACGCAATCTCCCTAACATCGATATGCTGATACCGATCCTCATCTCGAAGAAATTTCCGTAACATGGAAACATGAAACACGTTGTAGACGCGATCTAAAGTATCCGGAAGTGCCAACCGATAAGCAACAGCTCCAATGCGATCCATAATCATGAATGGACCAACAAATAGCGGTGACAACTTTCCTTTTTTCCCAAAGCGCATAACACCCTTCATAGGAGACACTTTGAGTAGAACCTGATCCCTAACCTGAAACTCCAAAGCCCGAGTACGACGATCAGCATAGCTCTTCTGCCTACTTTGGGCAATACGCATGCGATCTCGAATAAGAGCAATCTTTTCAGAGGTATCCTTGATGAACTCAGGACCTAAGAATCGATTCTCTCCAACCTCCATCCAACAAACAGGTGACCGACACGGTCGACCGTACAATGCCTCAAATGGTGCCATACCAATAGTCTTCTGGAAACTATTGTTATAAGCAAACTCCCCAAGTGGCAAATATTCCTCCAAGTGGCCCTTGAAATCCAGAACACACGACCGAAGCATATCTTCCATAATCTAATTCACCCTCTCAGTCTGTCCGTTAGTCTGAGGATGATAAGCAGTACTAAGGTGTAACTCCGTACCTAAAGCCTGCTGAAAACTCTTTCAAAATCCAGATACAAAGCTCGAATCCCTGTCCGATATAATAGACAATGGAATGCCATGTAGCTTCACAATCTCTGAAATGTAAAGCCTCGCCAACTGCTCCGAAGTGTAGTCAGTGCAAATAGGTAAGAAATGAGCTGACTTGGTCAACCTATCCACAATGACCCATATGGAATTATGCCCCTTGAAAGAATTTGGCAACCCTTCCACAAAATCCATAGATATGTTCTCCCATTTCCACTCCGAAATTGGTAGTGGCTGTAGAGCTCCTGGCGGCCTCTGATGATCAATCTTAACCATCTGACAAGTACTACATTGAGAAACAAAAAGAGCAATGTCCCTCTTCATACCTGCCCACCAAAACTGCCGCTTCATATCTTGATACATCTTATCGCCTCCTAGATGAACAGAGAACTCAGAGTGATGAGTCTCAGTCATCACATCCTTCCTCAAATTATCAGCAGAAGGTACCACTAACCGTCCCTTGTACCTTAAACCTCCATCAGCCCCAACATAGTAGAATGGAACCTCTCCGGAAGCTATCTCTGCGACCTTGTCGACACACTATTGATTGGTGAGTTGTGCTTGTAAAATCTTGCGACTGATGGAAGGTGTAACCACCATGCAAGCCATAAAAGCATCCGATAACTGATCCACACTCTTTAAAGCATTCTACTCAGTAGTGAATAGAGCAGAAAGACTACCAACAGGTCGGCGACTGAGTGCATCCGCCACTACATTTGCTTTCCCTGGATGGTACTGTATAAAAAAATGATAGTCTTTTACAAACTCCAACCACCTGCGCTGTCTCATATTTAGCTCCCGCTGAGTGAACAAGTACTGCAGACTCTTGTGATCACTAAATAATCTGAAGGACTCACCCAACAGATAATGCCTCCAAATACGCAAGGCAAAGACCACTGCTACCAACTCCAAATCATGTGTTGGATAATTAAGCTCATGAGGCTTAAGTTTCCGAGATCCATAAGAAATCGGTCGCTCCTCCTGCATCAATACACATCCAAGACCCTGCAACAAAGCATCCGTGTAAACAAGATACTCTATCCCGCTCTGCGGAGTAGCCAGAACCGGTGCAGAAGTCAGCTTCCTTTTCAGCTCATCAAAAGCTCGCTGACAGTGTTCATCCCATACGAACTGTACACCCTTCTTGGTCAGATGAGTGAGTGGTCCTGCTATCTTGGAGAACCCCTGGATGAATCTCCTGTAATATCCTGCCAGACCGAGAAAACTCCGAATCTCAGTAGGTGATGTAGGCTGTCCCCACTCAACCACCGCTGAAACCTTGGCCGGATCCACTGCTATCCCCTTTTCTGACACCACGTGACCCAGAAATTTCACCTCCCGCTGCCAAAATTCACATTTCTCGAACTTGGCATATAACTGGTGCTCACGAAGCGTCTGCAAGATTATGCGA